AAATAAAATCTTTGATAATAGGAGTCTTGGAGTTTAAAATCTTTGATAATAGGAGTCTTGGAGTTTAATAATGAAGAATTGGATTATTTTATGAAATTAAAATAACCCATGTGAATTTTTTTTTTTTTTTGCATTATTTCAATTTGAGATGGGAAAGTGAAGCTGTCTTCTTTGTCTTGTAATATCTTTTCATTGAAATAAACAGGAGTCTTGTCTTGTAATAACTTTTGATGGAACCATACAAGAGAGTGTATGTTGTTTTGTTCTTGTATCTTCCTTAAATTGGGGCTTGCTTTAGGTGTGGTGTCCCTTTTGATGCTACTCTTAATCTATGAATGCAATGTTTTAGATTTGATATTTTACTTTTAAAAAAGTCATTAAGGAAACCAAACAAAATGAAAGAAGTGAATTTTTAAGGATAATAGGTTTATTAGAGTTTCAAAAGATTTGATTCAATATTATAGGACATAACACAAAATTATAGGACAAAATTGTGTATGCGACGATTAACTTTTTTTTTTTTTTTTGTATGTTAGTCACGAGGTGTCCTCACACCCGTAGGCATGGGATAAATCCCCGTTTTAGGGTTTGTGGGATACCTCTAGTCACGAGTTGTTTTCAATGAGATTCAAACTCTTGACATTATAGGTAAAATCCGTCCATTGACAATCCATTTACCATCTTGTTAGTGAGAATTTAAGTTGATTAACTCTTGTCAGCGAGAATTTAAGTCTAGATTTGAAGTCCAAACTTTAGTTCTACATTTGAGAATTTTTTATAAAATATATAATTATTATATTGAATTTTAAAGTTTACAACCGTGATATTTATGTTATATGTATTACACTTAAATTATTATTATTATTATTTTTTGTTTGAAAGTTTTAATTATCATAATTTTACAACCCTTACAAAATAACTAATTTAGAAAGCTTGTAAATTTTATTTATGTATTTATTTCTTAGTCAAACTTGAAGAAAGTGTTAACCTATTTTTATTAAATAATTTTAAGATAAAATTCAAAATCTAATTTAAATAATAAATAAATAAATAAAACTATTATTTTCTTGGGTATTATACCAAAAGATCTTCAAATATTAAATTTTGAGATAAAAAATTCAGATTTTTAATTGTATATTAATTTTTTAAAATTATTTTTAGTTAAAAAATAAAGCAAACATGTCCTAATCTTTCTATTTTCTACAATAAGGTGTGTAGATACAATGCATTTTATTTTTTCTTTATCTAGAATGTCCTTTAACAATCTCACCTTTGAACAAGAATAAATTCTTTATTCTATACTTTTCTTCTTTATATATATATACTTTACCTTTAATTTCATGATCAAAGTTTAATTTGAATTCTATAGCCATATATTAAATGCATGCATGCCACCTATAAATCTTTTCTATTATTCCATCTTTATCATTAATGTAATTAATGACTTTTAAATTGAATAACTACGTGATAAAATTAACTTTCTTACGACAATTGTTGATAAGCCAATTAACCATGAGACGTCATGTAAATATATATTTTCAATTGTTTGTACGCTCGTAGTATAAACATAATATCATATTAGTCACAACACGAAATCAAATGCACGCATGCCCCGTGTGAATATATATTCTCTCTTTCACCTATATAATTATCACGATTTCTGACTTTTAAATTGAAAAATTATGTGATAGAAAATAACTTATTTACCATATATATTCAATTGTTTGTACACTCATAGTTGAACATAGTATCATATTAGTCACAACACGAAATCAAATGCACGCATGCCCTGTATGAATATATATTCTCTCTTTCACCTTTATATCACGATTTCCGACTTTTAAATTGAATAATTATGTGATAGAAAATAACTTATATATATATATATATATATATATTCAATTGTTTGTAGACTCGTAGTATGAACATAATATCATATTAGTCACAACACGAAGTCAAATGCATGCATGCCCCATATGAATATATATTCTCTCTTTCACTTTTATAATTATCACGATTTTCGACTTTTAAATTGAATAATTATGTGATAGAAAATAATTTATTTACCATATATATATATAACCAACTAACCATAGCTAACATCATATCAATGATAACTCACCATATACACAAGTCATACATTGAATCAATAAAATTAGATATTACATAATATGCATGCATTGACTTCTGGTATTATGTCACTGCATTCGACATCTTACATGTCATAATTTTTACATCAATAAAATGAAATACTATGTGAGATGTATATACTGTGGCATATACTTTGAATCTAAAATTTATAAGAGTAGATGTATCACCTATAAATCTTTTCTCTTATCCCATTTTTATCATTAATATGATTAATGATTTTTAAATTGAATAACTACGTGATAGAATTAACATTCTTATAACAACTCTTGATAAACCAATTAACCATGAGACCTCATGCCAGTATATAATTTCAATTGTTTGTACACTCTAATATGAACATAGTATCATATTACTCACAACACGAAATCAAATGCACGCACACCCCGTGTGAATATATTTTTCTCTCTGCCACCTTTATAATTATCACGATTTCTGACTTTTAAAGTGAATAATGATGTGTTAGAAAATAACTTATTTACCATTTATGTATACATACAACCAACTAACCATAGCTAACATCATATAAATGATGAATCACGATTAGGGGTGCATACTAGCTGAGCCGAGTAATGGCTAGCTCGAGCTCAACTCGAATTAGTTAAGCAGTGGCTCGATAAGGAAAAAGCCTACACCAGGAGCACAAAAGGCGAAACTCTATACAAACAGAAAAACAAAACCAGCCTAGAAAACAAGCACAACAAGGAAACAAAACCCACCAGCTCCACACAAAACCCACCAGCCCCACCGAAACCCCCAGGCTCCTAAGAGGTTGACATCAACTCCACGCGAAACCCACCAACACCGCCAAAACCACCCAGCCTACTGTCCCTCTCCAACCAACTACACACAAAAAATAGCAACAAGCAAACAAAGAAGAAGCCATCTGGTGGTTGCTCAATGAAGGGTGGCATCTCAGACTTTGCGGTGTGAAGAAGTGAAGATGACGATGGTGGAGGTGGAGGTGGAGGTGGAGGTGAAATAAGCTTGAAGGGAAAATGTCTCTGTTTTAGGGATTTTGCAGTCGAGTGTCTTTGTTTTAGATTTTAGGGCAAATTTGATCTTACGCGAACTAAAATGATCGATCGAGCTCACGAGCTTCGCCGACTCAAATGACGACGCGAGCAATTTGAAGATCACGAGTAGTTCGAATTGAGCCCAGAAAAGCTCGACACTTTGCGCGAGCTTGAAAGTGAGCTCAAACTCATGAACTACTCGTCTTTTGACGAGTCAAACCTGAGTTCTTGACGAGTCGAGCCTGAGTAGCTCACGAGCTACTCGGTTCGACTGCACCCCTACTCACGATATACACAAGTCATACTCGGTTACATCAAATATTACATGATATACATGCACTGATTTATGGTATTATGTCATTGCATATGACATCCTTACATGTCATAGCATATGACATCCTTACATGTCATAATTGTTGACCATTTGTACATCAATAAAATGAAATACTATGTGAGATGTATATAGTTGTGACATATACTTTGAATCTAAAATTTATTATAGTAGGTAAACAAATTTTGATAACCGGGGTGTCTGAGCTAACTTGAGTGCACCTCAACCTCAACAAATCTCCGATTCCCATTAAATACCCTACAAACCCAATGTTCCAAGTAAGTCACAAATATGGTAGATGACCCCAAGATGATTTGAACCCAGAAAATCAATGAGAATAGCAAATCTTTTTAACCACTAGACAGACCCTTTAGGGGGCGTTTGGTTGGAGGTTATATAGGATTACTGAGGTAATGTCATTTTATATTACTTGATTACCATATTTGGTTGTCAAGTAATATAAGATTCCGGTAATCTTCCAATACCTAGTAGTTATTATTGGCAATATTAGAGGTAATCTGATAACCTCAATTTTCTTAGGTATTGTAAGATTACTTGATTATCTTAGTTTTATTACAATTTTATCCCTTAAATTTGGACAATAAGGCCTTTGTTTTAAAATCAATTTACATTAATCTACCATTACAATTGTACCCTTGTTTAATTAAATTTTTGGACAATAATGCTCTTATATTTAAAACAAATTTCAAACCATCACCGCCACCTAGCCACCACCGCAGGCAGCTGACCAACCACTGTCGGTCATCGTCGTAAGTTGCCGAGAGTTGTCGGGAGGCTCCGATATGGCTATTCGGCCATATCGAAGTAGGTCTAACCAGAAATGGCCAGATCTATTCTGGCCATTTTAGGCTAGATCGATGGATGTAGTCGTTAATGGTCATATCTGGGTTGTGACTTGAGGTGGTGAGGTGATTTTGTTATAAATTAAAGTCTTATATAAGCTGAGGTGTTTTAGCTAAATCTAAAATATTGGGGGTTAAAAGAAATTATTCAAAAATTAATAATAAAAATAATATTATATTAATATTTAAAAAGAGGGTAATTTAGTAATTTAAATAACATATCCAACAATTTATTCCAACTAACCAAACATATTTTTCTAAAAATTTTAAATAATTTTTAACATAATCTAACTTTTTATTAACATAATATTTTCAATAATCTAATATTTTATGAACCAAATGAACCCTCTATGGTTTATAGAGTATCACGTAATAGATTAATCTTTTGAATAGTTGGTAAGCATACGACCCCGACGTATAAAACGTTAACATAATTTAACAGCAAGCCATACAAAAATGGGGAACAAACTTTAGGAAGATATTTTAATGTTCCAAAAGTGTAAATGAGAGCAAGGACGAGGGACAATGAAGTCCATGCGAGAGAAAACAAAATAGGTTGGTTTCGTAAATTCCGCCACCACCATCACCACTACTTAGTACTCCCCACTGTGTTCCTTCTTTTTTATACACCCACTTGTTCTCTCTCCTTCTGTACACCCTCTTCATCTCCTCCTCCTGCTTCTCCTCAAAATTCTACTAACAACATCTAGATTTATGTTTCTTCATTTCTACATTATAATTTTATAAATTATTGATTGAGGAAGAAGAAAGAAATGGTGGATGACTTCATGGTGTGTGTGGACAGGATAATGGCTTCAGCTTGCTTTGAAGCCCCACAAACATTACAACAACACAGTCAACAAAGTGATAATGTTGTGGTTGTGGTGAAAGAGCAAGAGAGGAATGAAAGAAATGGGGTTCTTGTTTGTGTGGGTGATAATAGTAATATTAATAATATTATTGTTAACAATTTCAAGAATGGAGAAGAAGGGTCTTCAGCTTCAGTTTCTATTTCTGGAGGTTTGAAAAATAATAGTAGCAATAATAATAATAATAACAAGAAGAAGAAAGTTGGTGACATGATTGTGGAGTGTAGGATTTGTCAAGAGGAAGATCAAATTCATTCCATGGAAGCTCCTTGTGCTTGTAATGGCACCCTCAAGGTCTTGATTTTCTTCCCTTCTTCTTATTTTTTTTTCTTATATTTTTCATGCTTCTAAGGCTTCTTTTTTTTTTTTTTTTTTTTTTGTTCTTTCTTTTTCTGGAATCTGATTTTTTTTTTTGTTTTTTTTTTTTTTTTTTTGGGTTCTCTCTTCTTTGATTTGTTCTTGCAGTTTTGAGGTCTTCTTCAGATTGGACTTTAATTTTGTTAACTTGTTTATATATGGTTTGTTTTTTTTTTTTTTCTAGTGAATTTGGTATGTGGGTATTAGTGAATTTGTAATTTATGAGTTATTTTTGTGTGGTCTGTACTGTTTGATCGTTCGCTTTCTGGGCTTTGGATTTAACTTCAATTTTGTTCTTATTGAAATTTGGAATTGTCTGGTCAAATTATTTATTTATTATTTTTTTTTTTTGTCATTTATTTTGTTTTTCCAAACCCCCTGTTTGGTTACCGAGAAAACTTTGAAAATATTGACTTTTTCAATAGATGCTTTGAAAATTAATGTCATGTTATATTTGGTTTCTTCAGGTTTCGTCTTTTTTTTTTGGTTGAAAAAGTTGTTGCATTATCAATAATTTATGTGAATTCAGCTTCTTCTTCTTCTTTTTTTCAGAAAATTTTCCTGATACTGTTTTCTGAGTTCAACCAAACAGCTGAAAATGAATATAACTTCTCAAATAGTCATATTTTGACTTCATCCAAATAGTTGAATATTAAAAAATGTCCTTTTGTCCCGTTCCCATTAAATTTTTGAAGTGAAATAAACAGAGCTTTTGTTAGTTGTCAATATTTTCCATTTATTTGGTCTATTAAGCCTTGATAAATCCTTTGCTGCTAATTCATTTTCGTTACAAGTAATGATGTTTCGGTTTCATGTAATAATGTTTTAGTGATGATAATTTAAAGTAGTTATATGTAATCAAAATATCGGTCTGGTAATCTTTAAGGCCTTAGTACGTAGCAAACATTGTTAATTTTGGGTAGATTATCGGGGGCAATACATTGCAGTGAGTCGTGATACGGTTGTCAGTTTTCAACTCAAAAATATACTGCTGACATTTTTGGTTCTTGCCTGTAGTTTGCTCATAGGAAATGCATTCAGAGATGGTGTAATAAAAAGGGTGATATCACTTGCGAAATCTGCAATCAGGTAAAAGTTTTTGTAAGTATAAGTATAGATGATTTAATTGCCTGATTGAATTTTGAATATATCTAATATGTGATTCGATGAGTAATTGCAGGTCTTTTCACCAAATTATTCTCTTCCGCCAGCCAGAACCAATCCTGATGTTATGGCAATTGATATCAGGTAAGGCTTCATTGTTACCTTCAAAAGCTGCTTGAGATGACGTGTATTGCTCTTGTTGTCTATCTTTAGCATCTTATATGGTTCATCCCCGACTTATTAAGGTATCTAAATTAGAAATAAAAAATCGTCGAGTCTCATAATATTCTTTCCCTTTGCTAATCAGGCAAGCTTGGGGTCCCCACATTGATCTCCATGATTCTCACCTTCTAGCACTAGCAGCAGCTGAGCGTCAGTTTCTGCAATCAGAGTATGAGGATTATGCTGTTGCTAGTACAAGTAGCATTGCTTGTCTCCGATCTGTTGCTCTAATTGTAAGCAAACCTGTTTAAGCTTTTCTTCATTACATATTACTGTGCGTATGGTCTTGGAAAGCTTATGTTTTGTTGATGCATACAGTTGCTGATGGTTTGGCTTATGCGCCAAGTTCTAATGGCCACTAGAGATTCAGGGATGGTACAGGAATCATCAACGTTCTTCAACGTAAGCTATTCTTTCACAGAAACATTTCCTTAAAATTCTGCTTTAGGAAGAAATGTATAGATGAATTTCTTTTATAATCTATAACCTCTCCACAGTTCTTCAATTGCTTTTTCTGGATCTTGAACTCTAAACTGGAATTCTGACCTCAGTTTCAGGTGTCACTTCTTCAGTTTGCTGGTTTTTTTCTGCCATGCTACGTGATGGCCCGCTCATGGTACGTCATGCAAAGCCGAAGGAGAAGACAGGTGGGTTTTTACTCCATTTCGTATATATTTCATTTTACGTATTAGTGCCAAACACATTTGAAATGTGTTTCTAGTTTTCTCACCCTGTTTTAGAAAGCAAATCCTTTAATGCTGAACAACTGGAAACAAGTAAAAGATTGTCGCAATAGTCGCATACACTACATAATCTACTGCCACAAAGCATATTTCTCCATATTGTTTGGACCCTACTTGAAACAGAAAAAAGAAGAGTGTTGAGGTGGGGACATCGCTATCAATGCCTGAATAGTGCTGAGTTAACATGTCTAATGCTTAGTGTCTCTGTAGTTGCTTTGAAGTCAAATTCTGAAATTTAAATTTAAACATATAATACAAGTTAACGGTGTAAGCTTGTCTATTACCGAGAAGAATGCTGGCAGTTGAAGGCCAGGTGTGAGCATAATTAGATGGTTCCAGAATTGTGTTATTCGAGGTCTAGTTCTGATATGCATCATATGAATGCCTAATGGTGCTTTCTACTCAGATGGTTTTATCTTGAAGATCAAATCTAAGCATTTGTTTGAGTCGAGCTTTGCAGATATTGGGCTGAAATTATTGGTGTGAAATAGAATTATTTGTTTAACATTTTAAATTTTGTTTCCTTGTGTTTATTATTGTTTTTGTCTATTGTTCAGGGCTTATTCGGGCAACATTAATGTTAGATCGATTCCTAAAATTGAGGCCCTTTCGTGTTCTACGTCTCATCTTGTTTATGACAGGCAAGCGCTTTTGTATATGGTAATTTCTAGTCTAAATCAAAAGATGCCAAAATTGGCTGAAAACACTATTGCAGAGGAAATCCTTCAAGCTTCATCACTTCGCTAAAAGCAGTTGAAAAAGAAAAAAAGAGGAAAATCCTTTAGTTTTTGTTCAGCTCCCTTGAGAGCTCAGAAATGTAAATGTGAACATTGGGTTCATTAAGGGCTTTTGTTTCTCTATGGTTTTCTTTTTCGTTTTTCCCTTTCCATATTCTACACAATGTTAGGTTTCATTAACGCATTAGGCTTCTTCCTGTTAAAAGTGTGGTGATGGCATGTGGGCTCTCTAGTTATGACCGTATTGCAATAGCAGTTGCTACAAGCCTGATTCCGGACAGACTCGGAAGCCTGTTTTGCTTACTTGGCGGATTATGGTTAAAGAAAAATTTAATCTACTCATGTCGTTAGTTTCTCTTCCGAGTCATTTCATTATATGTGTAAAGTAAAAATCCAATATGAGTTCAATAGAATGATTTGGAAAATGATATATTAGTGCTATATCAGATGTCTTATCACTTGAGATCGATGTAAACCTTAGAATACTCGCTTCTTGCCTCTGGGTTCTCATTTACTCATTAGAGCTTGAATTTAGAGAACTTTGATTGTTTGCCTGAGAATTAAGTTTTTGGATCATTTTGTTCGAAGTCATCTGCTAGTGATTCCTCATAAACATAGTTCATCTTTTAGTCAAAAATAAAAAATTAGACTTCAGATTATTCCAAAGTCCGATTTTTCCGAGCATTTGGATTCCAATTGTTATTGTGATTTGTGGAGTTACTTATAATGTTTCGGAGGGTTATGATTAAGCCTAAAAATGATGCATGATTCATTATCCTTGCTTGAACATGAATCTAATTGTGATTTTGTTGATAGTAGAATTGATCTTTCTTTGTTTAGAACCATCTCCCAGTAAAAATTTTGTCTTCTATTCATTTATCTTGGATTTCAAGGATCTGTATTTTGTCGACCCCCGTTTTGCTTTTGGATGCAATGATTCTGGTCTGAGATCGAATCATATGTCGAATATTTACAAAAAATACAACGATCAATGCATACAATATCTTTGTTAATCTTTGGTATGGTTGTGGGAGGTTGAGATGTAGTTTATTACTTGATCTTCTAATCTTCCTTTTAACCATTTATGATATCTTAGAGGTGCCAAATGGGTCCATTTATGTCAGTTATACAGTGAATAAAATGGGCAGATTGGGTTGCTTTCTGGGCAACTGGTCTTCTGGGGCCTGGGATTGGACTCAACATAATATATGGTCACAGGGTTTTGTACAGTATTGCTTGATGCTTTCAAATATCGGTTAGGCCGAATGACTTCCACCTCTCCAAAGTTTGGCATAAAGACAGATTGATACCTAAAAGGTTTGAAAATAACAAATAAATACTTTTTATCATATTCTGTTAGGGATTTGTGTTTGCTAAAAGATAATATAGTAATTTCATCTACAGTCACAAAATTTTTAAATTTTAAATCTTTTCTTCGTATCCATTCTCACCCCAAGTCCGTTTGCACAATCCTTTTGCATCATCAATCAATTTTTTTATCGGATTTAGCATTTTCCTGCGAAGTTCGGTGATAAATAATGGCACTGGCCCTTATTAGCGCGCGTTGGGAATGCAGATTGGTGGGTATTTTAGTCTTTTCATCATTTTTATCTTTTAGTAGATGAAAATTCTTAATAGAACATGACAGAAAGTGGGTGTTTGTCATTTCCAAACCTTGGGTACCACTTTGTTTATACAGCAAACTTTGGGTATGTGTAAGTCGTTCCCCCTATCGGTTATGATATAATTTAGAGATGTCAATTGGGTACGAATTTGTGTACGCTTGATACACACTACAAAACGGCGAATGGTGTACAAAATAGTGAGTTAGGTCGATGGTTGGGTCGATTTTAGTTGTAGTGCAACCGGTTTTCGTGGTCTTCGGATTGGACCCGTCACAACATAAGCTTACAATTTTTATTATATTATTGGGATAACATTAATTTTTTTTACCAATCTTTAATCCTTTTCGTGGATATTTAACTGTTAGTGAGTTGTTAAAATTTATACCATTATAAGTCCGTAAATATTATCAAATTATCCTTCCATCGTTTATTTTAACATTTAAAACTTAATGACAAATAATTTTTGTTATTATATCAGATTTCAGGGATTAAGTCAGTAACTCGATATTTTAAGTGATTTTTAATAGATAGATTACCTAAAAACGCTTGATAATCTCTTCAAGAAAGGTACTTTGAAAAGTGCCTTTCAATTTTATTTATTTTTAATTCCAGTTGGGTATTTTAATTTTTAATTATATTATTAATTTATTCTCCAAAGTGTTTTTTTAATATTTTCCAACATGAATGTTAGCTGATTAATTATAATCTTAAATAATCAATCCAAAGGAACAAACACAGCTGGACTGATATATTATTCTAATATACATTGTATCATAGATACAACTTTATAATATAAATTTTTTATTATTAATTTAATGTAAATGAATCATATAAACATTCATGCATTATCATTAAATATAACCATAATTTTTAACTTTTCTCTCAAATCTATTGATTAGGGATGTTTAAGTCCACTGGTTTATAACAGCGGGTAATCCTCATATTTAATAAGAATTTATTAGGTAAGGAGTTAGACTTATCTTAAATTCTATCATGGTATTAGAGTTAGAGCTAAGTACTTGACCAGCAGGTTTAGAAGTTAAAACCAGCAATTACCTCCATCTATAGACATGACCAATATGCATTGCGAATCCTACTAAATCGATTTTGGTCATGGGATTTCCCTAATATTCTGTAAGAATTTGGTATCAAGTGTCGCTACCTCGTACGATCAGTATGATTTATGCATCACACCTACTATGAGAGGTAATCGGGCTAGTATCCGAATACGCTACCTCGTACGATTAGTATGATTTATACATCACTCCTACTATGAGAGGTAATCGAGTTGGTATCCAAATACACTGATTGGGCATGCTCAAGCCTACTTGTTTACAAGAGAGGGTAATCCTCTCATTCAATAATTCCTTATTGGGATTGATCAACCAAAGTCTTAAACATTGGTTTATAACCTAAACGTTGAAAATTCCATAACGTTTATACCTGAGAATTTTCGAAAATTCAAATATTTTATTAATATCATTATCTCATGATTGTTGTTCCAATAATTGAAGAAACAAACACTTCATTTAAAACTTCATCCAGGAGATCTCCCACCAAAACATGGCATAAAAAAATTAGAAAATTCAATTTTTTGCTTTAAATTTAAATTTAAAAAAAAAAAAAAAGTTTTCAATTAATAATGTTTAGGTAAAGGTATCTTATTGCCATGATTAAGAAAGAAGAAACAGAACAAATAATGTGGGTTGTTTTCTTAACAAAAATCTTGTGCCTTGAAAAGGATTTATCACCTTCAAGAACCCTCCATTTCATTTTATTTTATTTTATTTTTAATTGATTTTATTTTTTAATTTTTTGAGCTCTTAAAAATAAGGTAGATGTTGACCCCATCAACCTTTGACATTATTTAACCACCTTTGCTAAATTTTTTTATTTATTTTTTATTTGTTTCAAACACTTGAAAAATAGTAATAAATTTGACACCTAAACCCGGTCCAACCCAATCCAAATGGTAATACAATTTTTTAGTTATAATCGAACCGGTTTTGCTGTGGGCTCTTGGTCGGACCAATCGGACTGGTCTGATCCGGTTTTTAGAACAATGCCTTTGACATTATTTAACCACCTTTGCTAAATTTTATTTTATTTGTTTCAAACACTTAAAAAATAATAATAAAATTTGACACTTAATGCCTTTGATTGGTAATATAAGAATCTAAATTAAAGATGACAATAATTTATTAATTTAAGAGAATAATATTAATATAAGGTCACTTTGACTCACTTACCTACCTCTATAATTAGTTAACCAACTACAATATAATAAGAAATTAGATTTCATATTATAGTATTTTCAACGATGATTTGTGATTTAAAAATAATTTTAAAAAATTTAAAATATGATTTAATTATGATAAAAAAAAAAAAAAAAACCTTCAATAGTAGCATGTTGTGAATATAATCCTAAAAAATAATAATAAAAAAATACATTCTTAAAATAATAATCTTCCCATAAACCCTCTTAAGTTATTGACCAACCATGTTGAGCTACAAAATAATTAGTATTTAGTTTCCTCTTAATAAATAAATATGAGAACCTTCTTACCTCTTATTTTAATATTATTTATACGCCGTAGTGTATAATTTTAATATTTTTCCTAATAAAAAATTTTTTTTTTTTTTTTTTTAATTTTTTTTTTTTTTTATTATTAATCCTAAAAAACAAAATTTCGTAATTTTTTATACATAAAATTTTGTCTTTATAATGTTAGATGAAGATAATAAAACAAATATTTATACAATCGAGTCATCGGCTAATGAGATTTGCATTTTTTTAATATGTAAACTTTCGTAAAAGATACGTTTCACCAAATATCGTTGAAAACATTCAAAGTCGATATAATTTACAAAAACATTTCAAATATGAATCTAACAATGTGTTAAGGGAAGAAACACTTTGAGTCAATTTTGTTATAATATTGACACTTGAGATATATAAAAATAACACTAGAAGAAGCATTTCATGAATACTCTTCAAGTGCTTTTCATAAAAGTACTTCTTTGTTCCTTATAATAATGTATCTCAAAGATTAAATTATAATTTATAATTAATTAATTAAGTAGGTTTAATTAGGGGAGGTATTTTATTGAATTAATTAATAAAATTTCATTATCAAAGAATCTTAAAGCATGAAAATTTCAAGATTTGATGTCGTTTTCGTTCAACTTCATAAGACATTGAAATCCCAATTTTCTGCCATAATTTCCGGTGGTTTCTTTCTCTAATCAAGTTATGGTCAAACAAAGTCACCATCTACAAAGCCTATATCTTTAATTCTTCAAAATTATTCATAATTAACGTGTGATTCGTGATTCAAAAATAATTTTAAATGTTAAAAATAGAATTTGAAAATGTGAAGTATATTCTCGATGTTTTTAATATAAAATTTTGATTTGATATAATATTTAAAAACCATTTTGGAAGTTAAAAAAAAATGCTAACTTCTTGAATTGTATCAAAGAATTGTTTTTATTTTATAAATACTAGCTAAAATAATTTCACTAGTGTTATCAAAGGCAAGAGGTTTTTTTTTTTCTTCGACTAATCTCTATAAGTGATTAGTACAACATCCCACCGTTATGATCTCTTTGGGTGTTTTTGTTTTATTATTTTGAGTGATATTTTTGAAATATTATTGGTAGGTAAAGTTGAGTGATTATTACAAAGTAGAATTTTAAAAATTAACAAAAAAGACCTCATAAGTTTACTAATTTAACTTAACACCCCAATATATAAAATTTTTGTAAAATGACAAAAACACTCCCACCTTACACAACTGCTAGATTTCGGCCACC